CACTTCCCTGCTGGGTGGCCTGCCATTCGGTAGTTCATTCGTCTTTTGACGAATGCAAGCAGGAAACATACGAACAACCGGGAACTGATGAACAAATAGACAAAATAGGTTTTAAATAATAATCCATAGGCAGGGAGATCTGCCACAGTACTTGTAACAGCACCCCCAGGCATAAAAGGGGTTAACAGCCGTTTAGGCGATATTCCCTTCCAGATATACAGGCAGCTACGGTAGACACCAATCCACCGAACCGGAGAACCATACGAATTCTCTCAAACATACGAATGCTGTAAACAGCCGAATAGGAAAAACCATACGAATAGGTTTACACTCCTAGATGTTGAACTGGAACAGCATACAATAAATCCCCCCCCCCCTCAAGAACGAGACAAGGCTCTGTGTTGAGGGTCAAAACAGGAACAGACAGAGCTGTGGGTTTATTATTCTTATATAGACATTCTTACACATTAGTACCACCCACAGGGTTTTGGAAAACAACTAATAAACACGTACAATACACTCAGACACTCCCACACAAAATCCTCCCCTCTGCCTGTGATACAATTACCTTACACAATGGGTAATGTAATTATCACAGGCAGAGAAATACAGTTTTTCCACATTATTAATAATTTTAAAAGTATGCATCACATTCACATAAACTTTCATTTTCAGAATCAGCATACTCCAAATACAAACATACGTCAAAATCATCCAAATTGGTCCAGGGGTTCAAAAGATAGATCGTAGTCCTTTGTGACCAAATGAAGCATGGCTTTTCTGCCCAAAACCAGTTCCACAGAGTCTTCTATACTGTTGATAATTGGGAAGTAATCCAATTATCTCCAAGGACAGAGGCAAAACTCCATTGAACACATGGCAGCAAAAGACAATAAAATACATAAAAATATACGGTGCAGCCATTGCATAAAAATATAACGGTGCAGCCATTGCATAAAACAGGTACATTCAACATATCCCCAGATAGCTCAGATCTGAGTGCACATTATTACTGAATGGCGCTCAGATCACACACATACAGTTCAATTGCCATGGAGCCAAAGTCTTTCCCATAGTCTTTCATTATACGAATGGGCTCCATGGCATAGCTATCTGGGGTATCACCGCTCAAACAGGGCAAGCACCGAATGACCCGGCTTTCGTGTCTTTGCAGGGGAAAATCAAGCGTTTCAACATGGGGCCATAGTCTAAAGGCAGCAGGCGGGCAACCAGGCTCCTCCAATGCACAGTAGCGAGATTGGTCTCGTCACAGTACTTATTTTGACTTTATAAAAATATGTTTTTTTCTGTCTAGGGAGAATTAAGTTATTGTATTATCTACATTAATTGGGTGGGATTGTGTACTGTATGTGGGAGTGTCGTTCATTGTTACATTGTTTTGATTAGCTTGTATACTTTGTGTCCTGTGCCCAACAAGATCCACCTGGGCGTCACCCTTGTTGGGAAACTTGTATAAAAGGCAGTGCGCCTCCATTAAACTGCTATTCCAGCTTATACTCCAAAACAGTGTGTTGTCCTGTTATTGGAGGGAAATAAGATTTGCTCCTGTGTCTGCTCTTCCAGCTTGCAGGAGACTCAATGGGGAAAGTCCTTGTAAGGACTAGAGCTAATTCCTCATTCGGTTCCAGAGCTCCCAGGACGGAGTGTCGTCCAGTGCCTGGGGGTGTCAGAGCTAATTCCCCATTCAGCAACAGGAAAGAGGTGGTGGTACCAGGACCCCAGTCAAGCCACGGTGACTAAGGGGAAGAGTGCTGAGGTTTTGCCCACTCTTCCAGCTAGGAAGCGGTCCTTGGCGGAGGTACCCAGTTGGCGTACCAGGTGATCCGTTACAAAGCTCCAGGGTGGTCTCTGGTTCGTGCGGTGTTCAGAAGCTCGAAGTGCCGATTCGAACCTCTTTGGGAGTTCAAAGTGTAGCCATACAAGTCCAAAAAGGCACAAACAGTGGTTTCAACCAATGTTTAACACAGGGGCCATAGTCACAGGGTAGGAGGCTGGCAAACAGTCTCCTCCAAAAACCAGTGGTGAGGTTACTTTCGCCACACCCCTTTTTATACCCCCTCAAACACTGACCACCCCTGGTTGTTAACCGCAAATAAGCATTTAAGTTGAGCGTTTTCCCTGGGTGGCTGCCATTCATATGATTGAATGCACGTGTTCCAGTGAATGGTGGACATTTTGTCTGCTGAACACAGGCAGCGGTACTTGGTCGTCGAACATCTGGAACTCTTTTCAGCCACGCAATCTCACGCACCCCAGCAACGATGATATTGCTGCCTGTCCCACTACCCGACCAACTAGAACAACATTCAGGAGATAGAATCTACTGATTGGGGGGAGCATTCGCTCCCTGAAAACCAGGGGGAGCATTCGTCGGTGTTCGCACAGGAAACCCGAAAGTTGACCAGACATTGCCCTGGAACTGTTTTGGGACATCACCTCGTGGCCGGCCTGTCAGAACTTTACCCGAATGGCAATTCCGTTCTATCAAATGGATCTGAGCACTATTTGGACTACTTGGGCGCTCAGATCCAGGCTATTCGGGGATATAAAGCTTGTGGGGTTCCTGTGAATTATGACTATGGTTTTGGGGTGTTTTATGTATATTTCCAGTAGTTTCCTGTAACTAAGAGATAATTGAGTTACTCAGTTTGACTCAATTATCTCCCAGACACAGGGACGCCTGGGAGGAGCTTTTGTATATTTTAAATGAAGGGGTCTGTGCATAAAAGGCTGAGCTTGTGCTGAGCTTGTGCTGAATAAATCAGTTGTACTCCCTGTAACGGTAGTCACCATCACTGCGGATAGAAGACAGAAATTATATGTGGATCCCCATATTCCTCGTGTTTTGGTCACCAGGTGCCCAGTATGTTGAATGTATTAATTGTCTGTGCCTTTCCCCCTTCCTCTTTGTCCTGTCCTATTGTTTCCCCAGCAGGGCGTTGTCCCAGGGGCACTGCCAGACCTTTCCCTCCTCACTCTCCCATCAGCCCTTGCTATTGTCTGACCCCACCCTTCCTTTGTACTATATTGCTCTATGTAACCTATTGTAAGTAAATGAGGCTGTTGGGGGTATAAATATGTGGCTATGTCTAGTAAAGTTGCTGTTTTAACCTTCACCAAGTGTCATCTGGTGTTTGGGAAAAGGGATATATTCGGCTGATGGAAAGTGTGTCCAGGGTGGAAAAGGCCCTCAGTGATCCCAGTCAAGCCTCGGCGACTGGGTTTGAAGTGCTCCAGGGTCCCTGATACCTACAAAGAAGCAGACTTGGGGGAGGTACTCGGTCAGAGTACTGGAGCTCCATCACACTCCCAGAACTGTGTGTCGTCCAGTTACTAGGGATAGAGCTATTCACTTCACAGTGCCTTGTTCCTAAGTTCCTGTCTTGACGGATCCAGCAGAGGAAAAGTCCTTGTCATGACTAGCACTACGTTACAAATGTTATTTATTTCGATTAAATTAAGTTAATTCTTCTCTAGTAATGTCAGATTAAGGGAGTGCACTTCTTCCTCAAATCAGAGTTAATCACACAACTCCCAGAATAAATAATATACAGAAAATATAATAGCATTTACTAATTAGGTACACCATGGGTCATGTTAAATCATGTTATTTCAGTCCTTTTACCGATAAAAGCACTTTCTAGAAATCATGTGGCATTAACAACTAATTATTGTGTTATTTCTATGACAGGAAATCCAGGAAAGTGTACAACTTTTAAAGGCCCAGGACTTGGGACTGGCTAAACTAGTCGAAGTTTCTAAAATGTTTCCCCCGGAAGCGATAACTGGAAGTCTCTGTCACACTGTCTTTCTCTGTTTTTGGGTCTCTCATTATGTCACTCTCTCTTTTTCCGGGTCTCCCTCTCAGTCACTCTCCCTTTGTGTTTTTAAGTGTCACTCTCTGTCTCTGTTTTTGGGTTCCTTCCTATCACTCGCTCTTGCTTTTAATTTTTGTGTCTGTCTGTAACTCTCTGTTTTTGGGTCTCTCCCTCTGTCACTCTCTCTCTGTTTTGGGTCTCTACTTTTGTCATGGTCTCATTGTTTTTGGGTCTCTCCCTCTGCCACATTTTCTCTCTCTATTTTTGTGTTCCTACCTGTCTCATTTTTGGGTCACTCCCTCTGTGTTTTTTTGTGTCTTTGTCACTCTCTCATTCTGATTTTGGGTCTCTCTCTTTGTCACTCTCTCTGTTTTTTTGGGTGTCTAAAATATAAGTAAATGAACAAATATATCGTAGTAACTTTCCAGTTTAGCCTGTTAATGTTAAATATCTTAAAATCTATAGGTGGCTGGGGTGTTGAGGGGGGGGGGGGAAGGCAAGATGCTAACATGAATTTTGTATAAGTTTGTGTAAAAGGTAAGTTCTCACAAGGAATTCAAAGAAGCCCTCAATAACATGGAATGTTGCATAATCACCATACGGCGAGGATGGGTTTATAACAAGAAATGTTGTCTAATCACCATACGGCAAAGGTGGTGTTATACCACAGAATGTTGTACGAACACCATGCTGCGATAGTGGTTTTATAACACGGAATGTTGTGCACTCACCATAAATTGAAGGTTGTTTACATCACAGAATGTTACGCAATCAGCATAAGGCAAGGGTGGGTTCATAATACGGAATGTTGTGCACTCACCATACAGTGAGGGTGGGTTTATAACACAGAATGTTGTGCAATCATCGTACGGCAATGGTGGGTTTATAACATGGATAGTTGTGAAATCACTGTATGGCAATGATGGGTTTATAACATGTAATGTTGTGCAATCCCCATTCGGCAAGGTGGGTTTATAACATGGAATATTGTGCAATCACCGTACGGCAATGGTGGGTTTATAACATAGATAGTTGTGAAATCACCGTACGGCAATGGTGGGTTTATAACATGTAATGTTGTGCAATCCCCATTCGGCAAGGTGGGTTTATAACATGGGATATTGTGCAATCACCGTACAGCAATGGTGGGTTTTCATATGACAGATTTACTGCTTCCTGCATCCCACCAATCTGGATCTTATCAAGCCATGTATTTATAAGCTGATAGGACTGACTCACAATGAAAATGTGGAACAGGTTTATTGAATTTACTTCTCTATAAAGAAATTACATATTTTCTGTATGCAGACTTCTAACAGACAGTTTGAATTCTCAGCTTTTTCAAATATACTGAATGTCAAATATTCACAATTGGTTTCTAAATTCCACCATAAAAATATTGTGCAAGAAAATATTTTAGATCATTTGTTAATCGTCGGGTGTGCCATTTACAAATATAAAATGTTCTGCAAAACTCTGTATGCCATAGAAATGGTGACAGCGTAGCCAATCGCCCAGCTGAGGGCACGGCTAGGCTGGGGAAGTGGCATTAAATAGGCGATAGTGTGGAAGATTCTCGAACCAGCGAATATTCGGAAATGCAGCAAAGCTGTAAAGAGATCTGGATTAGATCTGTCATGGTCTCATTGTTTTTGGGTCTCTCCCTCTGCCACATTTTCTCTCTCTATTTTTGTGTTCCTACCTGTCTCATTTTTGGGTCACTCCCTCTGTGTTTTTTTGTGTCTTTGTCACTCTCTCATTCTGATTTTGGGTCTCTCTCTTTGTCACTCTCTCTATGTTTTTTTGGGTGTCTAAAATATAAGTAAATGAACAAATATATCGTAGTAACTTTCCAGTTTACCCTGTTAATGTTAAATATCTTAAAATCTATAGGTGGCTGGGGTGTTGAGGGGGGGGGGGGAGGCAAGATGCTAACATGGAATTTTGTATAAGTTTGTGTAAAAGGTAAGTTCTCACAAGGAATTCAAAGAAGCCCTCAATAACATGGAATGTTGCACAATCACCATACGGCGAGGATGGGTTTATAACAAGAAATGTTGTCTAATCACCATACGGCAAAGGTGGTGTTATACCACAGAATGTTGTACGAACACCATGCTGCGAGAGTGGTTTTATAACACGGAATGTTGTGCTCTCTCCATAAATTGAAGGTTGTTTACATCACAGAATGTTACGCAATCAGCATAAGGCAAGGATGGGTTCATAATACGGAATGTTGTGCGATCACCATACAGTGAGGGTGGGTTTATAACATGGAATGTTGTGAAATCACCGTACGGCAATGGTGGGTTTATAACATGGATAGTTGTGAAATCACTGTATGGCAATGATGGGTTTATAACATGTAATGTTGTGCAATCCCCATTCGGCAAGGTGGGTTTATAACATGGAATATTGTGCAATCACCGTACAGCAATGGTGGGTTTATAACATGGATAGTTGTGAAATCACTGTACGGCAATGGTGGGTTTATAACATGGAATGTTACATAGTTACATAGTCACTTGGCTGAAAAGAGACTGGCGTCCATCAAGTTCAGCCTTCCTCACATATGTTTTTTTTTGTTTTGTTTTTTTTATTTATTACATTTTTTATTTTCATTACACATGTGGTTACAGTATTAACGACATACGCCACAACAGCGTACGTGTACATATTTAAACAGTAGCATAAACTGTAGCGCATTCTTGTTTGTGGTTACATGCACAATTTTTAACCAGTGGACCTTACAATTGCAACTGTTACGTGTCTACAGTTCAGGTGTATCAAGGTTGAAGCAATTAGCTCTATATGCTGGCTTAAGTTTCACTTTTAAGGCGTGAAGGTGATTATGCCATGTTCTACATTCTGGCTGCATCATATTTAAAAAGCTAGATTTTCCACAGTAATATCGATAGTATAATGGTGAGATACACTTAGAAGGAGTTGTTCAACCCGAACGGTCTGTACTAGCGCAGATATCGTGTTTACGTCTTATTGTGCCCTATGACTGTCCCGTTAGACAGCATGTCAACCGCAAGTAATCCTAATTCTATAACCGGGGACTGGTAGCCCCAACTTCTTAGCCAGGTCTGTGGCTTGTTTATTGCTGCGTCTGGGGAGAGGGGGGGAGAGGGAGGGTGAGGGTTGGGGGGTGAAGTAGGGGGGGTGTATGCATTGCCATTGGGCAGTCTTGGAGACGGCCCTGAGCAACTCGAGTTCTCATGATGTTGTGGTATTGTCTATGTATTTGGACCACGGTTCCCATGCGGAGGCATATTGGGCGTATTTGTCATTTATAGAGGCTGTCAGTTCCTCCATTATTCGAATAGACTCGACTTTCTGGAGCCATTCCCTCACCGATGGTGCCTTAGAGGCCTTCCAATGTATTGGAATGAGGAGGTTGGCCGCCGTGAGCAGGTGGGTCGTTAGGACCCTCTGTGGTTTGGCGATGGGGTCTGAAAATAATAGGAAGAGCATTGTCTCCGGGTTGAGAGGTAAGTTCCCCCCTGTTACAGTGTTAATTATCTCCCTCACTCTTTTCCAGTAGAGTTGTATGGTTGGGCAGTGCCACCAAATATGAGCTGTTGTTCCTCCCAATTGCCCGCATCTCCAGCATGTATCTGGCATGTGCGGGAAGATACGTTGTAATTTAGTGGGCGAGTAATGCCACCTGGAGATTTTCTTGTAAGTGCTTTCCTGGATAGCAGTGCTGACGGAAGATCTCTGTATGCCCTGAAAGATGATACCCCAGCCCCCCTGGGTAATGTTAGTGGAGAGTTCCCTATTCCATGTTTGTGTGTAATGTGGCATTTGTCCCTTAAGCTCCCCTTGAATCATCTTATAAAAAATCGATAAGTGCTTTCTTTTGAGGGATTGGGAGGTACAATATAATTCATATGTTGTGAACGTCCGGGAGCCAGCTAGAAGTAATCGCGTGGATCGTATGTAGTGTGTCAATTGCGCATATTTGAAGATCTGTAGTGTCGTGGGTCGTTCTGGTCCCATTAGGGATTCGAGTGGTTTGACTGAGCCGCCCTCTAAGACCGTATGGAGTCTCAGATAGGGCGTTTCCTGGGGTATTTTTAAGAAGTCAAAGGAGTGGTTCGGCAGCCCGGGTTGGAACTGTATGTTTCCTGTTAGAGGATAGAGGGGGGATGGATGAGGGGATATTGAGGTCTCATGAGCTTCCAGGTTCGGAGTGTGGGTGTAATGGTGGGGTGACGGGAGTGGTGTGGGGATAGGGATGTAGATCCTGTGTTTAGCCATGGGATCCCTTGGAGCGGGGTTGTGAAAAAGGTTTTCTCCAGTTGCACCCATTGTAGTTGTGGGCGTGGGTTGGCCCATTAATATATCCTTGTGAGGATGGTCGCTTTGTGATATAGCTCTATGTGTGGCATCCCCAGTCCGCCTTGGCTTTTAGGTTTAGTGAGTGTGGCGAAAGCTATTCTGGGGTGTTTGTCTGCCCATATAAATTTGGTGAAGAGGTTCTTGATCTTTTGGAAGAAAGATTTGGGGATGTGGACTGGTAGTGTTTGTAGAAGGTATAACAGTCTTGGGAGTGTGTTCATTTTTAGGATGTTGATGCGGCACAGCCATCCAAAGTGGGGCTTGTGCCATTTAGTCAGATCTATTTCTATTTGTTGGAGGAGTGGGAGAAAGTTGATGTTGTACGTGGTGGCGAGGTTATGCGTTAGGTGTACCCCCAGGTATTTGATGTGGGCTGCAGCCCACGAGAAGGGGTATTTCTCCTTTAGTGTGGATTGTAGTGGCTGGGTGATTTTCAGGGGTAGGATCTCGCTCTTGGTAAAGTTAACTTGGAAGTTGGATATCTTATTATATGTGGCTATCTCTTCTAAGAGAGGCTGCATGGATGTGCTGGGATTGGTTATTGTAAAGAGTAGATCGTCAGCGAACGCTGAGATCTTGTATTCCTGGTGTTCCACCCAGAAGCCTGTGATATCTTTGTTATCTCTGATCCCCTGAAGGAATGGCTCCAACGTAAGGATGAAGAGGAGAGGGGACAGGGGGCACCCCTGTCTCGTGCTTCGACAGTTGTCCATTAATTTTAAGTTTGGCCGTGGGGGTGGAATATATAGCCCCAAGCCACTTGTCCCAATTTGGCCCAAAGCCCATAGCTTGCAATGTGGCTCTAAGAAGAGACCAGTCTACTCGGTCGAATGCTTTTTCGGCATCGACCGAGAGCAGGAGGCTGGGTAGATTGTGGGACTGAGACAAATGGATGAGGTTGAGAAGTTTTGTCGTGTTGTGCTTTGCTTCCCTTCCTGGGAGAAAGCCCGCTTGGTCTGTGTGTATGAGGTTGGATAGTAGGGGGCGTAATCGATTTGCTAGAATTTTAGTGAAAATTTTTAGGTCTACATTGATCAGTGATATTGGGCGATAACTTCCACAGTTGGTGGGGTCTTTTCCTGGCTTTGGCAATAAGGTAATATGGGCCTCTAGAGCAGGAGTCTGTAGGGCTGGGGTGTCGGTGAGGAAATTAAAGGCGTCTAGAAAGGGATCTGCCAGAATGTCTCTGAATGCTTTGAAGTATTTGGCCGTGTAACCATCTGGGCCCGGGCTTTTCCGCAGGGGCAAAGAGCTCACTACTTTAAGGAATTCGTCTCTCGTCAAGGGGCTGTCTAGGGATTGCAGTGCTTCACTGGGGATTTTTTTATGCACCCTGGGAGTCAGGAAGCGTTCAATGTCTGTTGCTAGCGGGGGGGAGCTCCTGAGGTTATATAGTTCTGTGTAGAACTTGTGGAAGGCTTCCATTATATCTGGTAGGGTTCGTGATATGCCCTTTTCCGGGTGTTTAACCTTTGCTATGAAAGTTGTTTGTCTGCTTTGTTTTAATGCAGAGGCCAGGAGGCGACCGCATTTGCCTCCGGAATAGAAATAGGAATGTTTGGTGCGTAATAGTGTGCGTTGGACCTGTGTGTTTAATATTTGTTGTAGCTCTGTGCGCTTTGCGAGCAACGCCTTATATGTCTAGAAGACGTCCTTACTGTGGTGGGCCGCCTCCAGGGCCCGTATGTCTTTTGTGAGGGATGCAATTTTATTGTCTCTCCTTTTTTTCTGTGTGGAGGCTATGGCTATGAGCTGTCCCCGAAGCACACACTTATGTGCTTCCCATGTTATTGGGGGGGAGGTTTGTTGGGAGGAGTTCTCTGTGAAGTACTGTTGAATGGAAGTGCGTATTTTTTCAGTCACTGATTTGTCATTTAGTAGCAAGTCATTTAATTTCCATTGGTAAGTTTTTAGGGGAAGGGAGGGTATATGAACGGCAAGAAACAGGGGCACATGGTCTGACCATGTGATAGGGCCGTAGGAGCATGCTGTCACTAAATGCAATAACCGCTGAGGTAGGAAGAACATATCCAACCTAGAGTAGGTACGATTTGCATGTGAATAGTATGAGTAGTCTTTTCTATTGGGGTGACTTACTCTCCAGCATTCGTATAGTTGGAAGCTGTCTAAGAGGCGGGAGAAGCACTTGCGTTTTGAGTCATCTCTGTTAGGAGTTGCCGATGTGGTGTCTAGAGCCGAGTCTAGAGACAGGTTGCAGTCACCCCCCATGATGAGTATACCCTCTGCAAAGGTCTCTATCCATCTCATGTATTTTTGAGGGTCTTGTATTGGCCCGTGTTGGGTAGGTACATGTTTACAAAGGTAATTTTGTTTTGTCCCATGGTCCCCTTTACAAGCAGTAACCTCCCTGAATCGTCTGTTTTCTGGTCTATGAGTGTGAAAGGTACCTGTGCGGAGAGTAATATGGCCACTCCCCGAGTCTTTTTCTCAGCGAAGTGGCCATAGTAGCTTGTGGGATATCTACTGTTCCTCAGATTGGGAGCTTTGTCTTTTTTAAAATGGGTTTCCTGGAGGAACGCCACGTCGGCTCTCAGTCTGTGCAACTCGTTGAGGGTCAGGGAACGTTTTTCTGGGGAGTTTAACCCTTTCACATTGAGAGTGATTATGCGTAGGGTGGTCATCGTTGGTCGGTTATTTTAGGAGTGAATGGGGTAGGTGTCTTGTCTCCACCCAGTGCTCGGCCACAGACCTGTCTATATAGAAATATTTGGATATTTACAAGTAGTAATACAACAAACAAAACAAGTAAAAAAAAAAATTTTCAGTAAACACTCAAGAACAAGAAAAAAAATAAAACATATGAATATCACACACTTGGACTTATAACCTGCACCTGGGTCTGGTGCTTAAATACCTATGGTAACTGTCTCGGGTGAGATGATCCTTCTCTCCGAGAGCCTATCTGTCACCTTGGTGTAGGCCTGAGGGGCCTAAGTTCAAATAATATCTGGTATAGGCATACGTGTGTGTATGCCCATACTCCTAGGAGTATTATCTTGGGGGGGGGGGGGAGAGGGTATATAATAGACCGCAAGTCTAGTTGTGGGTGAAGAGAGGGGTATGGCTAATCGCTATCCTGTTCGGTGTGAACCTCGCTTGAAGTGGTACATTTAGCTTTGTGGGCGGGTGCGTATTAGGCTTGGGACCCCTGGGACAAGGCTTGGTGTGTTGGGCTTTTCGGGCACCTTGGAGTTCAGGTGGGATACTCTTATGGCGTCTCTTTCCCCTCCGCCCGGTCATGTGGCTAAGGGCCTGTGTTTTTATTTGGTAGCCCTTAAGTGGGCATTTCGTATTTTGGGGGGGGGGGAGGGTTCTATTGAAGGGGGGGGGACATTGTGAGGGCCCTTGGGAGATAAGTTCCCGAGACTTTCGGGTATATCTATCTCGACTCTGTGGCTTGGGTCGATTATGGCCGCTAGGTAGGTGTAATAGGTGGCATATGGTACAGTGCCCCGGTATCTTTTACCTTGCGGTGGTTATCGCTAGTCTGCGCTGCTGGTTGTTTTTTTAGGCTAGTGGGCACCATGTCGTATTCTTCCCTGCAATATCTATATACATTTGTGTTAAGTTGTGTTAACCCAGGGTAGAAAGGGGGTGTCTAAACAGATTCAAACAATAACCATATTACCCGCCCTCATGAGAGTCTTTGGCGTGGGCAGAGGAATCTCCCAACTCGTCCACCTGTGCCTCGGAGGGAGAAAGTCCCGGTATCGTGGGAGGTAGTGTGCCTCAGCTTCGACTGGTTTTATCTCTGTTCGGGTCCCCGGTAAGTCAAGAGTATCACATGCGAGTGTCATCGGTGACTCTTACCCAATGTGGGTCCGACCCCTACGATAAAGCTTGTAATAGAAAGTCACCTTTCTCCAATGCTTTTGTCCTTTCTGGGCTTTTTTTTTATTTTTTCCTTTTTCTTTCCTTTTTTTTTTTTTTTAAATTGGAATTCCATCATCTGCGAGTAGCTGTGGTATCTTTAGCGTGCTGATTTTCTGCTGTTTTGGGTAGTTGAGTAGGTTATTGCCTTCTTGTGGAAGGTGGTCTCGTATCCCCTTGGAATGTGGTGTCCGTGGCCTCCGTGTGTCTTTTCCTTGTCTCCTGCTGCCAGCGGGAGCGTTGGGGCGCCGGAGGTATCCCATGAGGTGGCGTCGGGCCATACCAGTCGCTGACGTGAGTCATGGGGAGGTCTAGTTCCCTCTGGAATATTGGGACATCCTGTATGGTGTGGATGTTGTGCTGGGTGCCATTAATCGTGGTGCTTAAGGCAAATGGAAAGCCCCACCTGTATCTGATGTTCCTCACCCTCAGCTGGTCCGTGATGAGTTTCAGTGAGCGTCTGGCTTGTAGTGTGAGCCAGGATAGATCTGGATAAATACTGATTTGGTTGTTATGGAATAGCAACGGCTGGGTAGAGTTTCGTAGCGCTGCCAGGATGTCTTCTTTGCATCTGTAATAGTGCAGCCGGCATATCACGTCTCTGGATCTGTCTGTGGACAGGCCCCTGGGTCTTAGGGCTCTATGGGCTCTGTCAAATATTATAGTTGAGTCAGGAGCTCTGCCAAGGATTAAATTGAAACGCTCAGTAAGTGTTGCTATGATATCTTCATTGTCATTTTCAGGGATGCCTCTCACCCTCAGGTTATTCCTTCTCCCCCTGTTATCCAGATCATCTAGTGAGCGCTGTAATTCCGTTAGCTGGGCTGTGTGGGCTCTCATAGTTTCCTGGAGGGATTGTACCTGCGTGTGGGTGACATCCCTGTCCTCTTCCAGTGACCCAATCCTATCACCCATGTGGCGTATGTCTGCTCCTATGGCGTCCAATTTGCCTTGGAAGGACATCTCCAGCTTACCCAGCATGTTCGCCAGGTCTTGCTTAGACGGCATGTTACGAAGGAGATCTCTTACTTCTGTGTCCCCAGGTATGCCTGACCGTTCTGAGTCTGCCGGACTGGATGGTGGGGAGCTGTGATGGGGTGATTCCGGCGCCATGTTTGGGCCTTCCCCACCGGGCTGGAGTTCCGCATTATCGCGGAAGTATTTGGTGAGGGCTCCCGTTTTTCCCGCGGGCTGCTTACCGGAGGTGTGGGGAGTGGATGCCGCTCTTTTAGGGTGTCCCATGGTTAGTTTATCCGCCTGATGTCCGCAGATTCACACCGTCAGGAGAGGAGCTTGTTTAGCTTGCGGCCATCTCGTTCCGTGGTTGGCTCCGCCCCCCTCACATATGTTTTTGCTGTTGATCCAAAAGAAGGCAAAAAAACCTAGTCTGAAGAGCTTCCAATTTTGCCACAAACTAGGAAAAAATTCCTTCTTGACCCCAAAATAACAGTCAGATGTCTCCTTGGATCAAGCAGCTATTACCCCACTAATTAGAAATTATATCCCTGTATGTTATGTTTTTGCTAGTATTTATCCAATATCTGACAAAACCACCTCTTCAGGCAGAGAATTCCATATCCTTATTACTCTAACTGTAAAAAATCCTTTTCTTTGCCTTAGATGAAATCTCCTTTCTTCCAGCCTAAATGTCCTATGTATAGCCCTGTTTATGAATAGATTTCCAGACAAAGGTTTGTACTGGCCCCGAATATATTTGTATAAAGTTATCATATCCCCTCTCAGGCGCCATTTTTCCAAACTAAACAGATTTAATTTTTTTAACCTTTCTTCATAACTAAAATGCTCCATTACTTTTATCAATTTTGTAGCTAGTCTCTGGACTTTTTCTAGTGCCATGATATCTTTCTTTAGAACAAGCGCCCAAAATTGCAGAGCATATTCAAGGTGTGGTCTTACCAGAGATTTATAAAGAGGCAAAATTATATTTTCATCCCGAGAATTTATGCCCCTATTTATACATGACAAAACCTTACTGGCCTTAGCAACTGCAGATTGACATTGTATATTGCTGCCTAATTTGTTGTCTATATCAATTCCCAAATCCTTCTCGTGTGTGGTTATCCCTAATTCACTACCATTTAGTGTGTAAGTTGCTTGTGCATTCTTAACCCGAAGTGCTTAACTTTGCATTTCTCTACGTTAAAATTTCATCTGCCATTTTAGTGCCCAGTCCCCCAATCTATCCAAATCCCTCTGCAGCAAAGCAATATCCTGCTCACATTTTATTATTTTACAAAGTTTTGTGTCATCTGCAAACACTGATACATGGCTTTCAATGCCTATTTCAAGAACATTTATAAATATATTAAATAGAAGCGGTCCCAAAACAGAACCCTGCGGGACACCACTTACCACTTTTGTCCAGCCTGAAAATTTACCATTAACTGCAAGTCGTTGTACTCTATCCTTAAGCCAATGTTCTACCCAAGAACAAGAATATTCATCTAGACCAATTTCATTTAGTTTGAAGACTAACCTATTGTGAGGAACCGTATCAAATGCCTTGGCA